AATCTCAAGGGACTTCCTGGTTAAATAAAGGTTAAATAAAATAAAAAAAATACAGCAAAATCGGTACAATCCATATAATTTATCAGCAATGACAGCAGATTTTAAAGTAATAAATGAACTATAATTGAGTGTCCATGAGTTACAAAAAGCTAATTCAAAGTCTTTTTTTTATTGTTCTGTATTTAAAGGAGAAAAGCAGCCTGATTTAAATAACATAAATGCCAGGTATGTAGCATATTAAAAATATTTAAATGTTTAATAATGGTATTCTTGTATTCAGAACATTTAAACAATAAATTATTAATTGTTGTCAGTATTGTATTGGTTTCTATAACATCTGTACCGTATTGGACTCTTAAATAACCATAGGGGGAAAACGTCTATCTCTTTATGTCTGTTGTATTTATATGAGAACATCTGGATAAACTGTTGGTGCACTTGATAAATTCTAACTTTGTGTGGAGAATTATCAAAAATCTTTAAACCATATCACTGTGTACTATATTGTTCAGTTGTTTTCCCTGCTTTGTCTTTTTAGGGATTTTGACATTACCACGATTTAAAATCAAGCATACACAGTTCAAAAACGGAGATTAATGAGAAACTTGTTACTATCCATGTCCTAATGCTGTTACATAGTATTGGATCAAGGTTTTTATTTTGTTTTCAAACGAAGCATGATTATTTTAGAGGTACCTATTGATATCTGTATACGTGTTAAGTTTAGAATCACAAGTAATTTAATGATTGAATCGTCATTATATTTTGATGTTGTTGTGTTTAAAGTCGTATTTTGTTTGTTTGGGGGCATTTCTCCTAAAATTATAAAAGAAAATAAATTCAAACCGACATGAAAGCCTTGGGTAGTAGTAATAGTAGCAGTAGTAGTAGTAGTAGTAGTGGTAGTAGTAGTGGTAGTAGTAGCAGCAGTAGTTGTTGTTGTATTAGTAGTAGCGTGTTTTACTTTCTTAAAGTTCAGTTTTGTATAGTATCACTTGTTGAGTCAATGTTTCATACATGATGATATTTCACTATTTAAATTGATTCACTAACACAAAATCCTACTATTTAATTGATTAATAAATCAGTATCAGTATCTATGAAAGCTAAATTCCTGATGTTGATTGCACAACAGAATTCAGAGGCATTGCATCAGAAGGATAAACTAAAAAAAGGTATTGATTTTAAATGAAAGGGAAAATAAGCTTCAGAATAGTTCAAAGTTTTCCTGTAGTTTTAGCTAAAGATAAAGGGTTCATATAAATCTACATTGAAAAGCATGAGGTTCATGTATGCTTAATGGGAAAGTAGAATCTCATGCTTTTTATCCCCCAAAACATTTAGCAACTGAGTTTCTTATGCCACATCAGACAAATCCAAACCTTCCTCCTGCTTGTTCTGCCCCACTGGAACGGCCCCCAGAAGCTCTGTAACAAACACAAACAGAAGCCACATTAGCAGCAGCAACATTTGCTAACAGGAACCAGATGTTCAGCTTTCTCTCAACATCAGGGAAAATGCTGAGTTGCTAATAAGCCGCTGGGTGAAAAGCGGCAGGTGCTGGAACTCTGGCGCCCCGACGCTGGCAGCATCCTGCAAATTAAACACCCCCTACCCCGCCTCCTCCACATCCACTCCTCCATGCAGCCCCAAGCATTCTGCGTCGTTTAGCTTTGAACTAAAACGGTGATGTTTATGCCATAGCTGGAGGCCTCCTCAAGTTTTACCTGTAAAACTACAAAGAGCTGGCCCTCACACAAACTAATTATGGATACAATGTACATGTGGCTGCTGGGAGGGAGAGGACATGCTTGAGTGTCTTCTGATCTGCAGAGGTTTTATGAAGACATTTATGGCTATAACAAAAAAAGCCAAGACGGCTGATTATAGCGCATATTTCCAGATTATCCTAGTATATTTTTTAACCCCAACTGTTTATAAGCTCCAGAGAGCATAACATTTAAGGATGTTTCCTTTTCAAAGAGAAAGGGCTCAATAGATCTATAAAGATTTGGAGATGCCAAACTTCTCTAATGAGCTTTTCCAAAATAATTAGGAAATGGTCAAAAAGCAAAGTTGATTTAATTTACCGTAAAGTAGCAATTCTCACTTAATCCAACCAAAACTAATCATATGCAAAATGTTCGTGTTTTCTGAGTCCCAACAGCTTGTGTATGACTTAAACATCTATTTATTTGATTTTTTTTTTTTACTAAAAAAAAATAGACACCCCTCTCATCAGAGTTCTACAGTATGTGTTGAAATCAACATGTATTTTCAAAATCTACCTGTGTTTTTAAACTATTTAAAGGCCATTTAGGCTGAATCCCATTTCTCGGTCATTACTTCTCTTGGTATGTTTTTCTTTGATTTAAAATAATATACTAAGAAACTGGACCCTTTGTTCAAGAAACTTTGACATCGTTTTCTCGCTGATTGTTACCTCCAGGTAGAAGACATATCATGCTTGAATCTGAATCTTGAAGATTAAGTCATGAAGGTCATGCAAACAGTTGGTTATTTATCTGTTTGGTTCCTTTTAATTTAACCAGGATAGTCATTTTAAGATAAAAATAAGATAAAAGTCAAGGAGGTCCTGGCCAAGAGGCTGCTACAAAAAGAAAATGCAAAGTTACATAGGAAAAAGAAAAACAAATGATTTTTTTGAAAACAGGTAGATGTTAATAAATCAATCTCAGGAACTTTTACTTTAGCAGTAAGGGCACAGAATGACACAAGTTCATCTTCAAAAGGAACATGGATAAGAAATCAAAGGTAACCAAGACAATCACATCTATTTTTCATGAGTAAAAAAATAATTTAGATTTTCCATGCGGTATTGCTGATATTTTAACTTAAATATAGAATCTTCAAACACATTTTGCAAGCTGAGTCAGAATATAAAAATACATTACCTTTAGTGTTTTTATTATTTTCACAACTTTCTTAAAATTGTGTTTTCCTTCATAGTTTTTCCTTTTTAAATAATGTCTCCATTTAATTCTTCAATTTTCATTCATGTTTCCTTGTTAAGCACTTTGTGATTTTGATCTATTCAATGTTTATTAATTGATACCAAATTAAATACTCATATCAGAATATATCAAATTATACACTAAATTCAGGTGCTTTTGCTGGTTTTGTTCTGTGACATTATCAGTTTAATATTAAAGTACTCTACTCTCCCATTTTTGCTTGTTTGCAAGTTAAACAAGATTAGAGTAAAAGCATGGATATTTGACTAAACATATTTATGGCTGTTTTAATTATAACATTATTCAAACTGACAAACATTTAATACATTTTTATATCGAACTTTTAAACCAGGTAAACTGAGGATATAATTATATCTATGAGTGTATTTCTAAGTACACCAGACTCTATAGGATCTCCATTTTAAGGTCCTACACTCTTTAAAAAAAAAAATGGATAAGAGGAATGAAGTGGGATTCTGCCATAGTCTAATCATACTGAAGGAAATTAATTTTATTATTTAAAAAATCTTAATAAATTTATTTTTGCTAAACTGCTTGAACAGCTCTAATGCAACCCAATGCATAAACAAATGGATCCGATTTATCACTTGAACCAACCATACAAGTTATCTAATGAAAAGAAGCTACTTTCCTTTGGAAAGACTTTTCTCAATAATTGTTGTAAGATATTATATTTTCTATCCAGGTATATATGCTGAGATTAATGAGAGAAAAGTTTTTCTGACTAAGTTTAGTTGCATTAAGATGCATCTTTGTCCCTCTTCTACTTTCCATAACATTTAAAAAACAGTTTTAAGGAGAACCCTAAACATGTGAGCAATAATGGAAGCAAAAAAAACAGACTATTTCTCTATCTGCTCATACATGTTGAATGATGTCTCACCTGGTAATAAAACAACTGCTAACAGGAGACCTGTGTGGATGACAGAGAGCGATGGTCGTCCAGATCGCGCCATTTTCCGTATCGTGTGCTTCCTGGAGGAACAGACAGGGAACAATGTTCTGGGTTTCTGTTGGATTGCTACCTGGCAACTGAATGTAGCACGTTGCAGTAAAACTCCACTTGGACTGATCTTCTCATCTTTCCATTTTTCTGAAGAGCTTTTCAGCTGGCTCTTAGAAATGGAAATCCTTGATTACACAATGTTTTTAAAACAAAAAAATTGTCTTATTTAACCCACAGATACAGAGACAATAGGAAGGATTGAGGACATGCACTAATAGAGCTTTTGAGGGATTAGGGAAATTAATCAGAATATCAAACATAGAGACTGAACCCAGCAATCAAACCACCAGAAGCTTGTTATTCCTTCTGCTGCTGCTGCTTGAATGGCTGCTGAATTACAGCTGCTATGTCATCAATTCTAAGGATTTTAGGATAGGCTTTAAATCCTTTCAAGTTCTACCACACCTCAAGTCCTTAAAGTTACCAAGAGCCTCTCTACATAGAGATAGCCTTACTCCTTACTTGCAAAGAAGCTGAGGAAGTGGCCTCCTGTGATCACCTCTGGATCCAGCGGGTCTCTCTAGAGGGACAGTCTGCTTTTCCAAGCTGTCTGAAATCTAATGCTCTCTGCTCCCCTGTATGAGCCAGACACACAGAGCAACATTTTTAAGTAGCCCCCATTGATCATTAAAAAAAAAAAAAAGGGCTTGTCATAAGGCTGGGACATCCTGTAAAGCTCTACAGGATTGGCTCCTTCTCTGCTAAACACCCAACCAGCAGCTATCCTGTAATTAGAAAAGGTGAGAAGCCTGATTCTACTTGGACAACAAGCCCAAGCTTAGCACTGAAGTTTTTTTTCCTCATTGGGAGAAAAATTTGGGGGTTACCTTTCAGCTCTTTTTGATCTAACATCTTCTTTTTTTTTTGAAAATACGTGTTTTTAGACCCAATATTTCAAAGCCTACATTAAAAAGCAACACAAAACAAAAACCCATAGGTTTTCTTGGCATTTGTCCAAAAGACATGACAGTAGCAGTGAATAAGAGGAGGTAAAATAAGAAAAATATTTCAAATTTATATTATCCAGCTATCTTATTTTTAATTGTAAAAGTACTAATTTCATTGGCAAATAATCTTATTTACCTGCTCAAATTAAGGGTAAATACAATTATTTTAAGAATGTTATATTTTTCTAGATTATTTTTGCAATGTACAGTAAGAGTTCAGTTTTAGTACTTGAGATTCATAGTGTTGAATGCAAAGGTTTTAGAGAGATTTACAGCAAAGAACAAACAATATTTCTCAAAACATTCCAGTGTTGCATCAGATCACAGAAGAAATTAGAAATATGATATGACAAGAATATCCAAGCAGTTGTTTCTCCACCATGTGTGATACTTTCAAAGTTGGCATAATAAGTCTGCTCATGTTTCACTCCATTGATTTTAATCTTTAAAATGATCTGAAAATGAAGTTTAAGCCTTCACCTAAAAAAAAAACTTCTCTAAAAGTAGCCTTTTTCTTTTTCTTCCACATACATCTTTTATATGGAACACCATGAAGGAAAGTTGAGTCATTAGGAGAAGTAAAGCTCATACAGGGAGCCAATAAAGGCAGCAAACTGCCGCTACAGTAGGAGGCAGAGCCTTCAGGACCAGCATACCAACGGCTTTCCTTGTTTGGTATATAATCCTGATGCCTGGGCTCTGCCACGTAGCCTGCACAGCCTGCAGTCTGTTAGAGGAACATACAGAGCGCTCTGGGAGAAGTGAAAACTGATGAAAACAAGCTTAAAAAGATCAAACCAGGCAGCCAAACTCAGAGGGTGCAGCCCCTCTTACAAACATTCAAATGTTGCAGGCACATATTTTTAAATTGCAGTCTTCATTGATCGGCAGTTGCCGCTTATATTTAAGTTAATGGATCTTAAATGGCATATTAAGTTAGGCACATTAGTCATATAACAGCCAGGATTGGTAATGCATTTGAAACCATATGCAGACTACATACAGACATAGATACCTTTGTTTTGTTTTTTGTTTTGTTTTTCATTAATCATATTTAAGTTTTTATGTTTGAATTCAGTCAGACTGGAAAAATTACTTCTAATTTCCAAAGACCAGCCATACACTGGCTACCTGGATTTAACTAAGCAAATAGGTGGATAATTAATGATTGGGCGATTATGTTTCAGCTGGCAACAAGTTATTTAACCACAACTGATGCAATGAGTTGGTTTTTATTTCTTAATCATGTCTAATGACACATTCTATGAAAAGATATCGATTTGTTTGGCATGACGTTAAGAAAACATCTAAGGAGAGGGCAGAAAATACCTAAGTGGACTGAGAACTGTCCAACTCATTATCAAAAAGTGGAAAGAAAGTGGGGACCCATTGTCTTTGAGAAAAAAATGTCACAGGAAAAGCTTCTTGAATGATCGTGATGGCCCATCACTTAAATATTTCGTTGATACTGAAGAAAGATAACTTGGTTATGTTTTATTGTGAAAGGAAGAGCATTTTAGTTGTCAGCCTCTGTCATCATCAATGCAAGGTGTTGGCAGAGAAAAATAAATCTAAAACTCAGGGCGAAATTATTCTTATGATTGCGGGCGCTTGTTGAAAAAAAAAAATCCACAGCAAATTCATAATCAAAGCTAGAGGCATTTTAACAAAATATTAAAGTGCTTGACCTTTATTGTTTTTGGAGGCAACTTATTATTGACCCTGCTGTGTTCTTATGGTAAAAAAAAATAGATTTCCATCTACAATGTTTTGAGGGACATTGCCGTTAGTACAAATGAAAAACTTTGACGTGCATTTTCCACATATTGATAGCGATACATCAATATAAAACCTAAAAATGGATGCTAAGCTGGAAATACTTAATCAAATTAAGGTTTTAGTAAGGCTTTTTTGGCACTGTTGCAATTTTTACAGAACTTTTTATGGACATGAATTGAAATTTTCAAGTCAAGTCATATATGACTGTTTGATTAGATCCCTTTAAATTTTTCATTCTTTGTTTCATTTTAGCCATTTGCTAAAATCAAAAAAGTTAGTTTTATTTCTCATTAATGTACACTCAGCACCACACCTTGAAAGAAAAAAAAGAAATGTAATTTTTTGCAAATTTATAAAAAAAAAAAAGAAAAGCTAAAATATATAATGATCATATCAAATAAAATGAACTCTATGGACTTTAGCAAATGGCTGCAATGAACAATTTAAAGGGGTTGGAATTGTCATGATGGGTCTTAAATGTTTAGCCCACATGCAGAAGCACACTCAGAGGAAGGGAAAAAGTTTAACAGTTTATTGAAATGACAAAAGCTCAGAGAGACTAAAACTATTGGTTTCTCAGCTAGGGGAAGATCCACCAGTCTGGTGAACCAGAAGCAGAAAATCTAGAAAGAGATCAGAATGGTGAGTTCAAGGTCCATAGAAAACCAGCGCAAAATCTAAATCAGCTAAATCAGCGGAAAATCTAGAAAGAGATCAGAGTGGTGAGTTCAAGGTCCATGGGAAAAAACAGGCCGATACAGAAAAATGGCCAGAGAGGGACTCACTTATGTAGTTTGCGGTTGCTCCTTGGTTTCTGTTTGTGGGGGGCTTGTTCTGATAAGGAGATTACTTGCTGGAGGGCGGACAGGCAGACTAATGGTTGTCTAGAGGAACAGCGGAGCGGACTGTCACAAGTTTTCCTGAAGATGACTGAGAAGAGATTAGGTGAATAGTTTCTTATCCTCAGCGCGACGGACGGATTCCTTCCAAGGCTTGAAGGCCCAGGCTTATGCAATGGATCTCTAGATATCCCAATACTGGCAAACACTCTGGCGAGGAGATGATGACAGTCCGCTGCTCATATACTCCTCAGACGGTAATGACCGACGACTGTAATGACCAACAAAGAGGCCCTCCAGGCTGACAGAGAAGCAATGGCACCCTCTGGTGGATGCACGGAGACACTGAAAAAGAACACAAAAGCAACCCCCACAAACTGGAACCCTAACAGGAATACTTTCCGTACCCACTTTAATTAGCAGCTTAACTTTGAAATGAGGTCTGTTGCTCTTCCTGGGGTATACTAGCTGTCCTAGTAGGCTAACATTCATGCACACAGCAGGTCTTTTCAAATATGCCCAAGTTATTTCTATACGCTAAATCAGACCAAATATATACGTGAAGTTATTAAAGTATTTAAAGCTGAAGCATTTGGAAAATGTCTAATGTCTTTTGCTCTGTTTAAAACCTGAATGATGCATGCTCCTAAGACTTTCCTCTACAGAAACTTTTTCTTGGTATCAACATTAAAAATGTATTAAAATCTACCACATCCTCATGTTTACATTGATCCTTTTTGATTCTGCATACAATGTATGTAGAGCAATATTTACAGACTTGTGAGCAGCGCCCTGCTTAAATTTGAAGAGTGTTCATTTCATATGCTAATAGGACTGAAATCTTTACAGGTAACCCTGTAATGGACATCTCTCCTTTATAATGTCAGAACTCTTTACTGTATCTTCACACATATTTCACTGTAACAGGAGAAAGATGCTGAACAGTCTGGATTCAAAAATGAACTACTGCTCACCATCTTCCGCAGCTGTTCCCAAATGCTGTCTATCATTTAGAGGTATGTCTCAGTGGAAAACATGTCTCCCAGAAACCATATGACTAATGGTGCCTCTGCCTTGGCAATTTTCACAGTTTTAAATTAACGCTGCTGTTACTGAGAGAAACATACTATTGTGCTCTTTGGCTAGAAGTCAGCATCTGCCTGTGCTTGGAAATTAGATAGCAAGACATTTCATCAAAAGCAACCATGAAGAATATATCTTCTTGGAGATTAAGGGCAAATAGAATATGGACGTTTAGAAAAATCTCTTCATAACAGGTTAAGTAAAATAGGCTGTAAAACTGCCAACATCTGAAGTTTTTATATTTATTTTGTCTGTAAATATTCATGCACAAAATGTTCTGTTTTCACTAGAATCTTTTTTAGTCCAATCTTCAGAGATTATCTCATGAGAAATTAGTTTAATGCAACATTTTTAAACCTTAAAAGATCATAAAGATGTCATTTTTCTGACTCTACTGTCTTTTCATGGATCCAATCTTTCCCAATGTTTTATGAACCAAAACTCTTAAATGAATGTTTTTACACAAATTTCCATGACTTCTCAATTGTCTAATGAAAATAAAGGTTGTCAGCAATATCAATTTATATTTCGTGTTGGCTGTCAAGCTGAACTTGATCGTATTCAAACAAATATGATAGACTCTTTCATGTGCTTTGGATTTAGGGGTCAGAGAAAGTTTCTGAAGTCGCTGCAACAGAAAGCACAGAACACACCATCAGCTTGACCAACTCTTGGAAAGAACCAAGCTGACCTTTATTGGTGAGAAAATACTGAAAATAAGACTTTGCTTTGTTTTCTACGAAATAACTTCCTCAACCACATGTAAAATAACGGAATAATTTTCCTAGCTGTCAACAGTGGTGTTCTTCTTCTGTTTTTAGTCCAGTGGTTCTAAGTATATTCAGTTTGGTTGGAAAAACTCTAGTATCATAAATATTCTATCTCTTGGCTCTCAGAAGGCAGATAGTTCAATGGTTGCATGGAATACT